GGATAGCTCGTTGCTACTTTAGGATCATTGCAGCAGCTCTATACTTATAGTCATACAATTACTAAGTTCGTAGCAGAAATTGACGATTGTAGTAATCAATTTACTTTCGTGGCATTGACATAACTGGACAAAAAAAGGAACTGGATGTGACAAGGATCTCACGCTAAATAATTAAAGGAATCTCTTCAAAGGCGCTTTAAAGTTGGTAGCATTTTTTAAGACTTTAATATTATTGACCTCACAAATAGGCCAGCAAGTGGAACTGAACAAAGTTTCATATCAGAGTATGAGCTACAGGAAGTTACACACATATTGCCACACTATGAGTTACTTTTGCCACAATAATTATCTCAGCAAATCCTTCATCAGTGGCTACGTTTAAAATTACTTGTCTGTAACACGTTGCCTTCTCTTGACTGAAATTTCTTTGATATGTGGCCAACTTTTTCAAAAAGTGACATTGGCAGTTTCTAACACATCTTAAAAGTAGTTTTAATATGCTCTCTTCTACACATAAACACTGCTGTGCGCGAAAGAGGATTCTCTATTACCAAAAGCCAAAAAATATTAAAGTTATCAAACAATTCACTAAATTCCCTAAAGTGTATTTCAGTCAATGGCCCTACACTTGAGGAAGGTGATCCCCAACCAGCAGTAACCTACTGGTCCATGGTATGTCAACAAAGGCCATTCTTTAGAAAAGGGAACCGCTTTGCTACAAATGAAACGATTCTGAATTTGAGTAGGAAATGTCAGATAATGAGATTTTTGAAAACAGAATAATTTGTATCAGACAATAAATCAAGTGATGTGCATAAGTGGATAGTTATTTAGTTTGAGTTTTTGATTGTTTTCATTAGAAATATTGAATAATAAAAATTATTAAAAGTCAATAATAGTTTTACTGCTCATAGCTCATCAAGACTAAGATATTTATATTACTTGCTGCTCATTTTGCTCACTCAGAAAAAATTTATTTCCAATGCTCACTCAGAAAAAATTTATTTCCAACCCTGTCTGCAACAATCTACAACTGCCTTATTCTAGATGCATCAGAATGACATGAACTACTAGGGCACTCAAAGGAATAACAAAAGCTACTCCATGCCTGACCTGTAAGAACAATGCCACCGTGCCTTGTCTGCCTTAGCCACAGCACCTAAGTGAATAAAGAAGTGGCTTCTACTATTGTTGTGCTAGTTCTTAACTTATAGATAGCTCTAGTTATAGTTCTAGTTCCAACGTTGTAGTTTAAATAGTTCTAGTTTTAGTTCTAGTTCCAACATCAGAGTGTAGATAGTTCTAGTTTTAGGTCTAGTTTCGACCTTGTAGTTTAAGTAGTTGTAGTGTTAGTTCTAGTATAAATAGTTCCAGTTTCAGTTCTAGTGCTAACCTTGTAGTTAAAATAGTTCTAGTCCTCTGCTATAGTTTAATTTTTAGTTGTATAGTTAGAACAGTAAAATATTTTTAAAGGAAACTTTATTATAATCAAATGAAGTTTGTTTTTTACAAAGCATGGTTTCTCTTTTCAGATTCTGCTAATTTAAACAATTTCTCTTTCCTTTTGTAACTTCCCCACTTGCTGAAAAAACTCGTTCCACTGGGGCAGTTGAGGCAGGAGTACAGAGAATGCCAGATGCCACTGGAAAGAGCAATGGATACACATCCTTCTTTTGTAACCAATAGTCCAAGGGGTCGAAACTTCTGCAACTGTGCCTACTGTCTAAATACTTTTGAATCTCTTCATCGTTGCTAGAAAGTTATACAACTAGACTTGTATTATTTTCTTCTTAGTCTAGCAAGTCACATACAAGACTCAAGTGCTTAAATTGCTTTGTTGGTGGCAGTGGTAGATTTTCTTCTCATTCAACTTGAGGCTGAAATAATGGTGTAAGATGACATACCTCATCGGAATTGTCACTAGAGTCAGATGGCATTATCAGCTACAATAGGTTTTGCTGCATCCACTTGAGTAGAAGTATATTCCTATAGGCAGGATTTAGCAGAGTTACAGAAACAAACCTTTCAAGCTCCTTCAGAAGAGCCTTGGCAACAATTGAAATACCAGTTAGTATGGACATCTGTACAAAATGAAATAATAGACTAAGTGATAAGGTAATATATCTTTTAACAAACCTTCTTGAAATGAAGTTTTAGTTCCTTCAGTACTGGTACCAACACTGCAATGCTTATAGTTGTTTCACTGCTTGTCAAATTCGTATGGCGAGCAAAGGGTTTCAGCAAAGTTTCTACATAGGACAAGTTCTTCCATTGTGCTTCATTAAGGTTTTCCTGCTCTAACTCTTTTACTACAGTAGTTAAGTGCTCCCTGACTTCAAGCATATGACATCACAAAAAAACAATCCCATCTTTTCGGGTAATTCTTCACTAGTTTTTTCCCTGCCAGCTCTACTAGTCGCTTTGTTGCTTTACAGGACTTGGTAACTTTTCTCACAATATCCAAAGCCGGATTTACATCAGATTTGAATGCTGGTGCAGATTCAAAAACTTTTACCACCAATTGCGAAGTGTGCACAAAGCAACTGGTACTTTTCCAAGCTTTAAAAGCATAGTGGTGATTATTCTCGCATCCATCAAAGTTGATTACATCAGAATAAGAACCTTATTCCATTTAATCAAGCTCATCTTTTTCTTCTATTCAAACTGCAAATAATTCTTCGCTTTCTTCTTTGATAATGATGTCATTTAGTACCAGTAATATCATCCTCAGAATCATCACTGCCCTTCTCTTCATTGTTACAGTTTGTTTTAAAAGCAGCAAACATGTTACTTCCATTGTATGTAAGCACTCGAAATAACTTATGACCAGACATTAACTAGTCATCAAGGATCTTCTGAAGTAAATCTGCAATTCTACTGCCAGTGTGTGGAGATGGGAATCTTCTTAATGTCGTGC